CCCTGAATCTCCTAACCCTGAAAATGAGAACCATATCAGTAGACTGTTGACTTTGCTTTTAAGGATAGACTTTAAAAGCTGTAAAAGAAACAAATTTCAGGGAAAGACAGGAAAAAGAGAAAGGAAGAAACAGTGATGGCCATAGTGAAAGAGTAGGCTTGAGACTGAAGATGTTCTCTTCTGAGGTAGTCCCTGGCTTCCTGTCTCATCTTTACCACTAGTATTTCTCTTCCCATCTGTAACAAGGAAAATAGTAGTATTTTCTTTTTTCCTGTTTTTGTCTGCTTAGGCAGCAAGCTGTTTTGGCAGGGGGCTCTTTTATGCTCCACACAGTAAAAACTTTGGTTCTGTGGGGCCTCAAGGGACTCTTGTGATATGAACAGTAACAAAAGGGCAGGAAGATGTCCAAAGGCATGTTTTGAGGCAGATGGTCAGTAGTTCACATCTTTTTTTCTTTCTTTCTCTTTTTGAGGTAGGGGACAAATTCCTTTGCCTCAGTAGCAGGGGAAGTTAAGGCATTTCTGAAATGCAGCTTTGAACAGCTTGGCACAGTTCAGTGTGGTCTCAGTAGGCTCTGTGGTTCTTCGTGGTTACCATGAATGCATCATGCTTGCTGTTCTTGTCATTGACCCCAAATCAGGTAGTTTTGCCACTTCAGGGAATGGGAAATAATCTATATTATTTTATTAGTATTGAGTAGTACTTGTGAGTGTTAACAGTTAAGCAGCTAGCAGTGTTGGTGGAGAAATCAATAGGGTAGAAGTTGTGGATTTGGTAAGTGTCTGATTTTGTCATTTGATGTGCACCTAGATGTGTGCTGGCTGTTCCCCACAGCATGTTGAATAAATCTCTCTCTCATACACACACATATATCTAAACATGGGTTTCAGAGGTGTGTTGGAACAACCCAGGGCACTGGATGTTGTGACCTACAGTCTCTCTGAGCATAATTTCTGTGAGAAAAAGTTATTCTGTAGATAGGTATGTACCTTAATTTTCAGACATCACGACAATACTGTTTTCAGCAGGGCAAAATGTGGTTTGCCCGTAGTCTGGTTTGTAACTGGAGCTGCATCTGGTGCTCGTGGGAATGCCATGCCTCACATCTGATCTGGAATGCCAATGAGCCCATATGAAGCTGTTAATGTCTGTGTGAGGTTTTTCAGTCCTCATTACCAACCTGATAGGAAGATAATTCCTCAGCTGCTGTTCCAACCTGTGGGATTTTACCCACTTAATTAATTTTCTTTCTTGTTAAAGAAGATCTCTTTTTATGCACAAGGAGCTGTGCTTGACTTGTTTTTCAGAGACTCTTCTCATGTCTGTATCAAAGGCACAGAAGCCTCAGAAGTTGGAAGGTGAGCCCTAGGGGCAGCACGCCTGTGGAGGCTGAGCTTGGAAATGCTGCCTTCTGTGCTGAGAGCAAGCTCCTGGAGGGGAGTTGAGTGTGCACAGTGGAGGAGACCCTGATTCCGTTCCCTGCTCCCCTCTTTTGTCACCACTCAGCAATAAAATGGAAGCTTGTGACATGACCAAAGGATAATAAACTGCATGCTCAATGCCTGCTGAGAGTTAAAATGCCTGCCTACACCACCCTCCCCAACCTTTCAGCATGTCAGCAAACTGTCTATGTAAATAAATACACATATCAAACAAAAAGCAGATGCCTTTTAACATGCACTGTTTGAGGCTGAGATACTAAGTTCTGATGTAGCTCATCTCAACATCTATCAGGCTAATGCCAGCTCCACAGCTCCCTTTCAGCTGCATTTAATGCACAGAGATTTGTGTTGTGTTAAGTAACGAGGAATTGGCTTGTTTTGCATCTGATTTGGTGTTATTTGTGGTGTATAAAATGTTAGATAGGAATTCTTTGTGTTCCTCCTGATCTCTGTGTCAGTGTATAGTAAAAACTCTTGTTCATTATGCTTGATTAAGTGGCTTTATACAAGCATGTGTGTGATTGTACAAATATACAAGGAAGAAAAAAAAAGTCATTTGCAAAATATACCACCATTGGGGCCCCAAAGGATACAAACACTGAAGTGGGGAGGAAGCTGTGATGCGGGTTAGATTTAAAATAAAATTTGTTTTAAAAGCTAAATTCCAGCAGTCACTTGTACCGCTTAAATCAAACTGAGGAGCCACAGAGTCTAAAGCCCCAAGGGTGTATCTCAGTGCAGTGTAGTGGGAGGGGCACCTATGAGCTGCTAGGCTGCTCAGATCCTGTCTAATCCAGGGTCTTGTCTCTGATAGCAGCCAGTAGAGATTAGAGAGAATGTAAGACCAGTACAACAACCAGGAGAAATTCCACATTAACCTCTTGTTTATTTTTGTTTTCATATTAGAAATGTATTGAGCCCAGGTGATCCATAGTCTGCTGGGCCTACTCTTTTGAAAATTCACCAGCAGGCTAAAGGACTGTTGGATCCCCTGGTGCTGCTGTCAGTGTCTGTCCCTCTACATCAGCCTCAGAGAAGGTGCCTGGTTTTTATTGTCCTTATTCACATTTCTCACGTGCTAATGCTTTTGCTCTAGCCAAATACAAAGGAATCACAATTAAAATAAAAAGCCCAACCAGACAGATTCTTTATGCATGCAACAAGTCTTTAAGACAGCTCTCCATCAGACTTTTCTGAAGTCTGTTGTAAGAAAGGAGAATATTTCTGCTACTTGACACACTCAATTGGACTACATATAAACAAAGCAGGGGGAAGAGGAGAGGCATGACCCTCCACTGGAGAGGAAAATTTAGATGACCTGATACATCTTTTTTCTTAATGTTTCTTGAACAGAGGTGATTTAAAGCTCTCATTTGAACAAGCATGCGCCGAAGACAAAATACATTATTAGTGACCCTAAATATATGAGAGCCCTGTGCTTCTGATCACAGTGGTGTATCAGCTAGAATAGTAATAGGGATGAATGGGCTTTGCCTACATGGATAGCACTGTTCTTCTATAGTGGAAAGGAAAAATTGCTACTAAAGATGCCATTGAATCAAATTTTTGATAACTCTCTGTACACTTGCCTGACAGTTTCTATCTTGTGGTTTCACGCAGCTTTACAAACCTGATTTTTTTTTTCCTTCACTGTCTTCAAAGGCTGGGAGTTACTATCCAATACTGCATGTCTGAAAGGAATAGGACTGCATTCAATAGGATATGTTTCTACCAGGCAGTGGACACTTTTTCCTGTGCAGAACTGTAGAGGCTTGTGCATTTTCTACATACAAGCACTTGCACCTCTCAAATACTTACCCTTCCCCTTTAAAGAAACCAGAATGTGGTTGGCAGGTGTGTATTTGAAATGCCAGGTTGTGCAAAGCAGAGAAGAGACTTATAACAAATACCAACAGGAGGATGAACTGCAGCTGAAAGTGTGCTGAAAGACTCCATTAGAGACATGGGCATGGAGAACATCTGCCTGAGTACCGGTTTGGGGGTCCCCTGCTCTGCTCACTAGACCACGCTGTCACTCTAGTGCACATAAGATGAATGTCTAGGGCACAGAGTGCTTCTCACCAGGGTGTCTGAAGGTGGGCACAGCACGCAGTGTTCCTGTGTCCCACTAAACCCTCTTCTGCATCTTGAGTAAGTGTGAAATAACACCTCTGTGGGGGAAAGTAGGGAGCTCCTCTTCGGACAGAGGGCTGATATGCTGTGCATGAGAGGAATTTCCTTTCATGTGGTCTGGTGTGACATTAGCACTTCCCAGCTGGCTTGTAGGTGGCTTTGTAAGCTACTGGATGCTAGTTCAGCTCAATGTGGTTGTCATCTCCAGTCAGCATGACAGAGAAGGGGAGTTTGAGATGTTTGGCTGCAGCCCCATCTCAGTGTCTTATGGGGGCTGCTGGGTGGAGTTGCTGTGAAAGGACCTTCTCTCCCAGCTTTTCATTTTGGCTGTGGAGGACTAACTGTGATGCAGGGAGGTTAGTGGTGTTCCCTGATGGTGCATGTGGACACCTGACATTGGCTTTGGGATGCTGGAGAGGTTGGGCAGAATAGAGGGTTTGGGCTTCAAAAGAGAGCAAAGCAGCAAGGTAGACTAGAAAAGAGAGAATTAATATTATGAAATGGATTTACATGGCGCCATCTTCATATCTAAACTGGAGCTGTCAGGGCGAATGAGATCCAGACTCTCTGCTGTTCTCCAGAGAGAAGCCATTATGGAGCAATCGTTCTGTTAAAGTGATGGCTCCACCTCTGTGCCCTGTGTCTGGCTGATTTCTGCAAGTAGAAAACAGACAGGATCTGGCATGATCCCCTCTCCTTTTCCACTGGCCTTTCATGCCTTTCTGCAGACTTCTTTTGCTTGCTTTATTGCTTTCAGCCCTTGTGCATCTGTTGGTATCTTCCTCCCACTCCTACCTGCCTCTCAGCTCTACTACCTTGCCCTCTTTTCCATCCTCAGTCGTCTCTGGCTCCCTCTATTCAACACACAGCTGTACTTTAACATCCAGTAAGTCCAGTAAGTGAACATGTGTGTGCGTATTTGTTGCATACAATACAGAAAGGGGGGTGTGTGGTGGTAAATATTTAATTACCTTTGTTTTATCACACACTGCTCCATTTTCTGTTCTGGGACTTGCCTTTTGGGAACTCACAGCATCTCTTCCTGGTGCTTCTGTCCTCTCCTTTTTCCATGGTGACTCTCCTCTGCTGTGCAGGAGAGCAGGAGGGGAAGATGCAAAGCAAGTCTGTTGCTTCTTTCATGTGTTGCTGGAAATAGTCCTGTCCTCCTCCTGCCTTCTGGTCAAAGCCCTTTTCTGGCTGGTTTAATGGACTGGAAAGTGAGGAAAGAGATTTTGCCTTCAGTCCAGACCTTGACAGGGTCTTCAGAGTCACTGCCAGATGCTTCCCCTCACATCCTTCAGGTGTGCAAGAAAGAGCTGATCTTTACCTAAGCAGGACGAAGTGAGTGAAACAAGGTCACGGTCTTCTCCTCAGTCCCAGTATGGAGTTATGTGTCTTATGTATTTTCTTTGCTGTTTCTGACAGGTTGACCAGCCCAGATCACAGTGCTAGTGACCTGAAACAAGGATCCTGCCCAATGCATGATCAGTACAACCTGACTTCTTCTTGAGGAGAACAAATATTTCTCTGAAAGTCTGTCCCCTCAAAGCAGCACACAGGTAAGGCAGACAGTGCTCCTGATGCTCAGGCTCAGCTGCTGCTGGGTCTAGGCTTGCTACATTGGATTCAGCAGAGGACTTTTTCCATTCATTTGGCTCAAGAGAGGCTTTGTCACTTCTGCCTGCCATGTCTGTAGGGATGAAACCTTACATTTTATATACAGCACAGGGAATGTTTTTCAGAAAAAAAAAGACTTTCAGAGGATCAAGACTGCTCATATAGTTGAGATGAATATAGGTTAAAAGTGTGGGAGGAGCATGCTGAAAAAAGAAAAATGTTGCATACAAGGTATTTATAAAACAATACTTAGACCTCTTGTTCTAAAACAATTTTATACTAAAAATTACCTTAATTTAAGCAGAAAACTTTTTAAGAAAAAGGAATAAGGAAGGGTATGTTGTGGGGAAGGGGTTAAGTAAGAAATTAATCTAATAATGTAGTTTTCAACCGGGCAAGATGTTTCAGGTCATCCTTAGGTGAAAAAAAAAGAAGAAAACAAACAGAAAAGCCTTGCAGTTTTAATCGCTCTGACTCATGGAAACCAGATCTAGAAAAAATGAGGCCCTTTAGTCCAAACTCTTAATCCCCTACTAGTATGTAACATCGTTCCCAGCAGTGTCTACCAGTCCTGATTTAAATGATGGGATTTTCCCTTGTCCCCTTGGGATACTATTGCACAGTCTAATAGAATTAATCTGCTTACTTCTTTTTCAACTCCTGACCACTGCAGATGCAATTAGTAGTAGGCGATGGGAGGATTTTGTTTCCTATGCTGTATTATGAAGGCTTAGGGCTGTATTGTGTTAAACCAAACATCACTTGCAAGTGTGTTTGCATGAGTGTGGCTTATCTGTCAGTACTCATTACAGCCCCATAAACCTCTCTGAACTACATTTCTCAGACGGGAGCTTTTCTACAATGGTAATTCAGGATCTGATAAGACACAGACTAATGTATTTGAATGCCTATGAGAAAGACAGTATGATTGGAAACTAAAGTGAAATGCAAAGTCGTATGCTGCCAGTGCTAGAGGCTCTCAGAGGCAATTTACTTCTCTGCTTCTGGAGCATTCTCTGGCCTCATTTTTTGCTTCTCTCTTGGACAGTTTGACAGGAGTTATATGAAATAGCATTTTACTGTGTGTGGTGCTGCTGGAGGTACCACTCCACCTTTCCATCTGTGAATTTCAGGCTTGTCTTAGATGAATATTGTGGGTTTCTCTAATGCTTACTGAAAGACTCCAGTCAAATAGCCAGATGAATATAAAGTCAAATAAATTGGAGCTGGAAAATCATAGCTGGTCTTATTTAGCTAGTCTCCTCTTAATACAAAGTAGAGGTTCCTTCTGTGACATTTCACCTGTTTTGCTTCTCAAATTTGGACAAGTTTTGTTAAAGAAAACTCTTAGATTCTAAAGCACATGGATGGAGTTTCAACTGGTTTACACCTGGAGACTACAGTAACAGCCAAGCTGTACAAACTCTGTGGGTGGACACTTGGTTTCATCCACTTCCAAAATAAAACCACATCCTAATACAGAAAGCAACTGCAATATAATTGCTATTGATATTTGAATGAGGCTGCAATGTGAAGCGGAGCCAGGGGTCCTGAAAAACTGGGCATGTGCCAGCCTTCCACATGGGCTGCATCCCCTGGCACTAAAGGAGGTTATAGTCCTGTTCCTCCTCCCTCCCAATAAATCCTGGTTCTGGAGTATTTCCTCAAAAAGAAAACCTGAATATAAATTTAGCCACTGGACCAGTCTTTCATTATCAAGATAAAATTTGTTAAAATTTTACTCGATTGCCTGTGTTTGTCAGATCCGAAATTCTTAAACACTGAAGATTGAGTTGCAAAGCTTTGATGTGTTCAGTATTCAGTGCTAATTTGCCCATTATTTTTAATCCTTTGAAATTATTTTCCATATTGGTGCTTGGCTACTTCATGTAGTGGTTTTGAATGTACTTTAAAGGATGGAGAGGTGGTGACTGAAGCAAGGTGTAATGATCCATAGTGCTTTAGATCATCTGCAGCTTATGTTCCCTGTCCTTGCTTTGCCAATCAAGCTTTATTCCAGTGAAAGTCTCAGTAAAGCCAAGGCAGATAAGTAGTGTTTCTCCTCTGCTCTTCACCTTTTCTTTTCCCCGGAAGTTTATCTTGCTGCTCGCTTTTTAAAAGCTCTGCATTAGCTGGGGGGGGGGCATGAAGTAAAAGGCATGCTTTAAATAGAGATGCTGGTGATAGTCCTTTCAAAAGCTGCATTTCTCAAGCTGGGAGCTATTGACCCCTTTCAATGCAGTCACAAAGAATTCCAAGAGGAAATGGAGGGTGAGGGCCAGCAGGGAATATATATATAAATTTTTTTCCCCCCAAGTCATCTTCTTACTCCATCCCCTGCCAGGCTGGCTATTGTTTGAGCCTCCACATGGGATACCAGCTGCCGTATAAGGAAAATGGCATCATGCTACATTCTTTCTAAAAATTGATTTTTTACAGTTGCTTTCCCCCCCCACCTCCTTGCTGAAAGTTGTTCTGTTTTGGTGGAAGGTCTAGCCAAAAGGAAAGTGGTAGGCTATGGTATGCATATAAACAGTCTTGGGCTGTGCAAAAGATTTACCTTGTCTCTGTTAGTTCAGGTAATTAGGCAAAGCAGCAGTAGAAAATTATGACATTCAGCTACTATGACAGGAGCTGGGGATGTTAGATTTTACTGCATCTTGAACTCAGTAACAATGAGTAATAAATGTAAATAATGTTTTTTCTTGCTTGAGAGGATGCTCAGGCAATGGGACAGAGGCACAGAGTACCCCTTTGTGTCCCTTTTTTTCCACAATCTACCTTTTAGTCATGTATGTTTGCAGCCCTGATGCAAGCACACCTGAACTCTTACAAGGGGATCTCACCTTTTGCTCCTAGGGTGTTCTCTACAGAATTGTCACTATTTCAGTGTTTGAAAGTTTAAGAGGTGAAAATCTCTTTCCATAAGAATTTTATGATTTGTGATTAAGAGGTGGGACAAAATAGGCTGCTGAACTGGGGCTTCTGTTTCTCCCCATTTCCTGAAACGTGATTTGTGAAATGGTGTTAATCCTCATTGTATGGTGTTTGATGAGGACATGGGGCTGAACCTCCTGCTCCAGTGTGTGCTTTGTTCATCCCTGCAGAAGCACTGAGTGAGTGGCATGCACCGGTTTGGGCCACCAGCTTCCTCTGCTCTGTTCAATGACCAAGTCCACTGCTGGGGATGACTGGAGCCCAGTTATCTCCATAGGTATCTGAAATATTCAAGCCTGCAGGAAGCAAGGCTGCGAGCAACAGTATTTTAGAGGCTGAGGTTCTTTCATGGGTAGCAGGGGTCAGTCAAAACATGCACCAGCTCAGGAAAAGGAGTCCTGAGGTTTGGGATTTTTTTCTTGGTGCAACTGTCACTTGCTGACGAACAGAAACTGCCTGCTTTTTTGAAATAAGTCTGACCTTCACACAAACCCACTTAGCAACTTGTACAAAGGAACAGCTGGAGCAACGTGAGCACAAAGGTTGAATCCTCTGATTCCAGAAAGCAGAGGCAGAACCTGGAGTGGGAAAAGCATAGGTCTGGGATCTGGGAAAAAGCCAGCTCATGGAGAAGAATGAGTGTGTGCTTGTGCATGCAAACATAAGAGTTGGGCACTCTTCCTCTTGTATCCTTTTGTATCCATAATTGAGATATGTCTTCAGTCATTCTTTCTACAGTTACCATCACTTCTGACTCCCCGTGATGCCCCGTTGATTCTCCCTATAAAAATCTGTTCAGCAGCTGATAAATGTTGCAAACTTGTTAAAAGTAAAAGCAGACAAAACCCCATTCCCTTTAGAAGCAGCAACAACAAATTTTGAGGTTCATTTACCACAATCATGTCACAATACTCAATCTGTATTATGCTGAGGTGTGATTACAGAAGTGGAAAAAAGGAAAAGTACTTTCTATAAACATTTTTTGGCAGAAAATTAATAGTTCAGTATTATCATTATTATTATCTCTGTATGCATTGACAATATACACTTTTTTCTTTCTAAAATGTTGAACAATTTGACAAGTTTTAAAGAAACTGAAATTTTGTGAGAATGGAATAAGGACTTTTTAAAGGTTCAGTGTTTTATATAAAAGCCTGTAAACAGTGCCTGCATTGACCAAAGGAATTAGATATCATACAGAGAAAGAAAAATTTATATATATATATATTAAAAATATATATATATATTATAAATTTATATATATATATTAAAGAAAAATTTTCTTTAATTTTTTCTTTTGACTGTGAATTTCATTGTTTGGAGAAGCTGTGCTACTCTCAAATATCTGCAAAATTAGTCTGCAAGAGAATCTTCTCATATGATAAATTGTGCTTACACTAAAGATACTGTTGTGCAAGCCTTCTGGGCTTTACTTTGAGCTTGTGTTTGCACCAGTATAGCAGGGGAATGTGCTCATGTAGCTTTTTCTTTATAAAAGGTGATTTGGTGCCTCCTAGATGCTGCCCACTGTGGTATCGAGAGGAGATATCACTCACAGCAAGTGGTGTGGAACGATGCGATGCCCCATGTGCTTGATTCTCAAATTACCAGTGAAGCGGCTAACAGGTTCTGACACATACATGGTTGGCATTGGATGTCTGAGTTAACATTGCACAGATAAATGGGATGCTCCTTGCCCAATAGCCATAGTTTCAAGCTCCCTGCAAACTCCCAGGCCATGTATTTTGGTTACAGCCCGCTCACATTATAAATGTCTCAGTAACTGCTGTGGCCAGCGATGATATGTTTGTTGTGTGCGCACTAACAAGTGAAAGAGGAGCATGAAGGGTGAGTGTCAGGTCAGCCATGCATCCAGAGGGCAGGCAGCATGTGTGCAGCCAGCACTGTTTCAGTCTGCCACCGGTGAGCTCCTGTCTCTGAGGAGCAGCGCTTGGGATCTTGGCTGGCGTAGCAGGTTTCTGCTCTTCTGCCTGCGAAAGGTGCT